TCAATGTCATAAATGCTGTACATAAAATAAATAACATGGATATTTTTGCATATTTCCAACCAATTTTTAGTTGTGTACTACAAATGTGATTGAACAGAATGTTTACACCATGTTAAATACTGTTTGATACTTCTACTGACTTCTGTTCCAGAATCTAATAAGGAATATTAAGTTTAGCCGGTTAACTGACATAGCAACATGTCCTTATTGCTTTTTGCGTAAACATACATGCCAGTTTCGAGTCAAGTGGCGTGTTGTCTCGACGCATTTTGAGCTATCCGCGCGTATACGTGTATGTCTACGCCATTAACGTCCGTGTCATTACACGCCGTCAAATGTCCGAGTAAAACAAAGCAAAATGTACATCTACATCTGGAGAGCTATGTTTTTCTTTTCTAGGATGGTAAGGGAACAGTCATAAATGCCATTAACCCCAGTGACGGTTAGGTTTAGGGACAGGGTTGAGGTTAGTCATATATTTATTAGGGGTGTAACGGTACACAAAAATCACGGTTCGGTACGTACCTCGGTTTTAAAGTCACGGTTCAGTACGTTTTCGATACAGCAAAAAGAAAGAAATGGCAGAGAAATTTCCTATTAGTTTAAAGAAAAAATATTTTTAAATAAGTGTGAGTTTTCCTAGATCTTGAAACTTTCAGGTTTATAAATAGGGGTCATCTTTGAAGGATGAACAAATAATGTTTTGGTCATCACATTAAAAAATAACATTTAAATATATATTTATTTATATAATATTTGAATTTTGAAGTGCTGGAAAAAGATGTGTGAAGTACTTAAAAGCATTTCACCATTCCAGCCAAACTGGTTACAGTTAGTGTTACCATATTAAATCCATGGTGAATGTTGCTGGTCTGTGGACGTAAAGTATTACTAGTTAAATCACGGCACAATGTTTCTCCTGGTTTCCATGACAGCGCTGTTTGATCTAATAGAGATCTCGCAGCGATGTTATTACCTCAGTGGCGAATTCAAATGTTTTCTTTACCGGATCTCTTAGCGCGGTGTGGTAACAGTGTTGCTTGATCGAGATCGGCTCGCGCTGCACAGATGTTGCTGGTCCGAACTGATAAACGATCCGTGAAGCACATAACGAGGAGCGCAGTTTCGTTCTGCTTTCATTACCCTTGCCATTTGGATGTTGCGCAACGTTGTGTTGGCCGCGTCAGCACGAATTTTGCCGGCAAGAAAAATGGTCCAAGCAATCGTTCGGTTTGTATGCGTACCGAACCGGAAGCCTCGAACCGAAACGGGTCAATACGAATACATGTACCGTTACTAGGGCTGCAACAACTAATCGATAAAATCGATTATAATCGATTATGAAAATCGTTGTCAACGAATGTCATTATCGATTAGTTGGTCTGATTACGTCACGGGGATTGTTTACATGCTACATGCGCTTCTTACATGCGCTTCATGAGGCACACACGCAGTCTCTCTCCCTCGCCGCTCTACACTGTCTCGCACGCGCAACACCGACTGTTTGAACGGAGCACATTATCTTCTGTCTCGCGCGCGCAACACGGACGGTTTGGAGCACATTATCTTCTGTCTCGCATGCGCGCTCTTGATTCCGTGAGTTTGAACTAATTTGCGGGCATCAGGAAACCGCTATCAATATGCAGCATACACGAAAATCATTCACCTTTCGGCAAATTCGCCGTTTTGAAACCAAAATAGGTGACCTACGTTAATCGTGTATACTTTATGAAGCCATACTATAGTATAATGTGAGATAGAAATGTATATTTAAGTCATTAAATTAAAGTTAACCAAAGCTTTTCCCTCCACTGCGGCTGTCAGTCATTCTCTATTCGGTGTTCAAACAGCTCGTCGCGTTACAACAGTTAACATGATGAAACTCGTCTCTTTCCAAGATGATTCAATGTTATTATTATAATTGATCCGTAGATAAAGGTCTATGATGGTTTTTCTATCTTGCTACACTTTTATTGCTGTAACTTAATCACTTTCTACTGAGTGTCTGTTGGATCACAACACTAGTAGAGTCGGCGCAGTATAATTGTTCTTCACGTGCACAGTAGCCTAACTGAAATTTAAAACTGTTAAAAGAAAGACTTAATAAACTATTGCAACGATACTGTATAATACACAGTCAGTATGTCTTTCTCTTTCCTTGGTGCTTTTAACTTTAATGCGGCGGACACTGAAGAGCTGCGCGCCGCCCTGTGACTCCGTGTTGCTTCAAGCGCATCATTCAGCGCTCGCGATGCGCATACGCACTTTGTGCAGCTCTTTCATGATCATGTCATAATACTTTTGCGCAATAAAAGCTTATTAATAGCCTTTCTTGTTCTGTCCTATCTATTATATTTTGCTTCCTCACTAAACAGCTGTGCTTTACATTTAAAACAGCTGTGCATCTGATTTTTACGATGTTTTTCATGAATGTATAACAACAATACAAAGAGCAATGTGCAACGTTTTACCAGAGTTAGTGCTACACTTATTGTCTCTTATTTGTTTCCCACTAAGGAATGTTTTTTTCACTAAATGTTCAGATTTTATAAAATTATTGTGCACTTGTGATATTTTTAGGCTAAGTTTTTCTGAGTTATCCACTAATCTAGTTTACAATAGCATTTTTGTCATAGGTTATGGTCATATATATATTTTTTTATTTGTTGTTTTTCTTTATAATGAAGTTGTCTGTATTAAGTAGATTGTTTAACACACAAAAGAGTGTGGTTTTTAGGGTTTTATTTAGTTATAATAAACAAAAAAATGAAATAAATTTTTTATCCGATTAATCGATTAATCGAAAAAATAATCGTCCGATTAATCGATTATCAAAATAATCGTTAGTTGCAGCCCTAACCGTTACACCCCTAATATTTATATATACAGTAATAACGTTAAGTCAACGGCGTTCATAAACACGCTGAAAAGCGATTATGCGTGTTGATAGCACGCCAAAAATGGAAATATGAATTGGCCTGTCATACACGCGCTACTTCATGAGATCAGTCTGGACATAGGCCTTGTCCCAAATGCTGACCAAATATATTCTCTATTTGAGATTATTGTTGTTTCTTGTAATACTCCAATGGCATTGTTTATGGGTTGTACATTTTTCTGTCTTCAGTGTTTTAGTGAATACTGAGAAAATATTGTCTTTAAATTTAATCAATCAAAATGTTTCTCTTATCGGTTGACCACAATTTAAGAGCACACTTCTGAATCAGTAGATGACAAACGGGACACCCTGCAGTCCCTTGGACTTCACGTGTGCATGAAAGAACGAAGGCCACGAGACTGCAAGTCCACATCAAGTACGCCATTTAAGATGGAGCTGGACTGTCATGACTCATGATGCTCTGAGCAAAATGATTGGAGTGTATTTTCACAGCTCATCTTTGTGGTTTTATTTGTGTGCCCTTGTAAAGAAATGCACAGTATTAGTGGTCAATCAATATATCACCAATGCCGATATTTGGCCGTTTTTAAATATCGGTATTAGCCGATACGTTTTACCATTTTGGCTGATTTGTTGAATTGGGACTTTATCTTGACAGCGCTGCGAACACCCTCATCTTCTATATAACGTGTTCTTAGAAGAACTTTTACACAAAGTACACTATGCACTATGTCCAGTTTCCTACTATGTCATATTCATATCGTTTTCACTGTGTGCTTTATGTAAAATTAGTCTTTATTTAAAAAAATATAATACCAGTGCGCACAAACCTACTTGCATTTACTTACTTTTTAATATTTATTTTCAATGTCTTTATTTGTGAAAAATACTGTACTAGGATCAAGTCGTTGACACCCAAAGAATAAGTCTGTTTTTGCAGATTATAAGAATTAATTTTCAAATATTTTAATAAATAAGTAAAATAAGTATAAATTGTTTATATATTGGCCACCTTACTCTTAAGATATCTGCAATGGCATTCCAAAAATTCTGTATCAGTTGACTACCAGTGTATACACAGAGATAAATGTAGCTTCTAGTGTTGGTATGAATTGGATATGAGACTTTTGAAATCCCATAGCATTCAGTCTTTTGAGATACTTTTGGAGTTTTTCTGAGGTTTATTGCAGGATCTGTTCAAATATTAAGTTTTCATTCTAATTTCATATGTATTATCTTGGCATTAGACTAGTCAACCATATATTTTGCTCTGTGAAGATGATATGTTTGGTCTCCTCTTATAATGTGGAGATGTGAGCATGATCTGCCGGTGGCCTCAATTTAGCATAATTTGTGCAGTACAACCACAGTGTTTTAAGCAAGATCAGCATTTTTTTTCTTTATGACAAAAAAGGGAACAGTAACCGCCTCTCAGACAGGCCGTTTTTGTGTCTGCCTACATGTTCTTTGTCAGTGTCCCACAAAGCCCCCCCCCCCCCTTCATACTTCTGTCTTGTTTTTACCGCTCTATAATGTGTGTGTGTGTGTGTGTGTGTGTGTGTGTGTGTGTGTGTGTATGTCTGCTACCATGACAGTGAAAGTTCTTGGTCAGGTCCAGACTGGCTCAGTAATACAGTACATACCAGCAGGTCAGCTGTGAGCAGATCCCTCAGTTCATTTATAGCCATGGCCTTGTGTCAATGCATATCTGCCTGGCAACTCTGTGCTAACTGTACCACTCCAGCACCCACCCACTATATACATGCTCTTTGTGTTTAACATTATGCAAACATTCTATGTGCTGACACACTTAACACGTTTTAGTGATGTTTTATCTGTCTAAAATGTATTGCATGCCATTTTGTTAACTACAATCTTATCAGATCACCCTAGCTTACAGGTTTAAATACTATTCTAACGTATTATGCTTTCATTTCAGTCCCCTTGGAATGTACCTTTATTGACCATCTTCCACCCAGTGCGCACAAAAAGTCACGTATTTCTTTTGTCCATTTTTTTTTCTTTTTGCCTGTAGTTTACAAACTGTCGCTGGTCTTATGTATAAACAGCATTTTCATTGTTATTTTTGTTTCCCTGATAGGTTGTCTCCAATCTATGGAGAAAGCGGGCAAGATGTGGGGTAACCTCAGGAGTAGATGCCAAGCCCTCTTCAACAAGGATGGCACAGAGTCCAGTCTGTGCAGCCAGGACTTGGATTGTGTTCACTGTGTGGTGGACTTGGGCAGGGGAGCACATGCAGAACCCTATGAAACTAGGTCTTCCACACCCTCACGGACTTTGTCACCAATCCCACTGGTTACTGGAAGACGCAGAGGCCATAACTGTGTGGCAGATATACCCCAGATAGTAGAAATCTCCATTGACAAAGAAAGCGATGATGCAAGGAGGGCCCCCCTTGTGCGTAGGGACTCCTACTCGCGTCATGCTCCCTGGGGAGGTAAAAAGAAACATTCTTGCTCAACTAAAACACAAAGTTCACTTGAGGCTGACAGGCGAATGGGACGCTCAAGAGGAAGTACAGCCAGGAGAGAGCGCCGTTATGGAGTTAGCTCCATCCAAGAGATTAATGATTCTGTAGGAGCTGGCAGCAGTGGGCGCAGCCTTAGTAACCGTTCTCTGCGGCAGCGACTTCGAGACACCGTAGGCTTGTGCCTTCCTCTCACCACGCACAGCCGCTCTCAGTCAGCCAAAGGCCAGGTGTCCTCCAAACGTAAGATCCACCTGACGGAACTGATGCTTGAAACATGCCCTTTCCCACCCGGTTCAGATCTAGCCAACAAGTGGCACTTAATTAAGCAACATACAGCACCAGTCAGCCCTCATTCCTCAACTGCTCTTTTGGATGCATTTGATTCAGCACATTCTTCCCCTGAGGATGAGGAGGAGAGACTGCGTGAACGGCGTAGACTTAGCATAGAGGAAGGAGTGGATCCCCCTCCAAATGCCCAGATCCATACACTGGAGGCAACTTCACAGACCTCTTCCCTCTATAAACTGGGACCAAAGATGGCTCCTGTTGTTGGGGACGGACTTGTGGAGGGCAGGAGCCTGGGAACAGTCTCCTCCATTTCTGGGGGGTTATCGGGAATTGCCGCACAAGTTGCAGCGAGTTTGGCAGTGCCATCTCACACTGTTGACTGTGACTCTGAGGAGGACTCAACTACCCTTTGCTTACAGACACGAAGGCCCAAGCAGAGGCATGCCTCTGGAGACACCCACTGCTCCAGACAGCCAGGGCCTTGGAAGGTCCACACACAGATTGACTATATCCATTGTTTGGTTCCTGACCTACAGGCCATAACTGCACTTCCTTGCTATTGGGGGGTGATGGACCGGTACCAAGCAGAGGCACTGCTGGACGGACGGCCAGAAGGAACCTTTCTGCTACGTGACTCTGCACAGGAGGACTACTTATTCTCCGTTAGTTTTCGACGCTACAATCGTTCACTGCATGCACGCATTGAACAATGGAATCACAACTTTAGTTTTGATGCGCATGACCCCTGTGTCTTCCACTCCTCCACGGTAACAGGCCTGCTTGAGCACTATAAAGACCCCAGTGCCTGTATGTTCTTTGAGCCCCTGCTCACTGCTCCCTTACACCGGACTTTCCCTTTCAGCCTTCAGCACCTGGCGCGCGCCGCCATCTGCAGATGCACCACCTACGATGGCATTGGGGCCTTGCCATTGCCTCCAACCATGCAGGACTTCCTCAAAGAGTATCACTACAAACAGAAAGTCCGTGTGCGCTGGCTAGAGAGAGAGCCGCCATTCAAGGTCAAATGAGGTCTGGTTCTGTGCCGAGAAAGGCAGGAGTGTGGGCAAGAGCTTTTCCGCCAGAGGAGTCTGTGTCTCATATTATCAATCAAACTGCTGGCTTTAGAAACAAGGCAAAAGGGGATGTTATGAACTTCCGGCAGTTTAATCCTGCAAATACCACACATGGAATCCATACATATGATTCAATGCAGTACATTCTGTCAAGCTAGCTTATGTGCTGAAGTGTTGAGCATGCTGAGAATGAGACGGTCTTATTCTCTCTGCTCTTTTTCATATGACCTTATATCCAGTAGATCTTCACTAGCATGCCTCCTGCATTTTATCTTCTAGTGTTTTACGCTATTTTGAGCAGGTTAACTGAGTGTTGTTTTATTAATTAGCCTAATTTGTGAGGCAAAAGGATGAAATCTATATTAGCTAAGTCCAGTGATTAAAATATATTCATCAAATAATCTTGGAACTCTTGATAACCTGGATATCTGCTACTATCTAAAACTTAATGTTAAACATCTAGACACGTTAACTATATGACTATTTGCTAAATAATGGCTAATTTATCAACAATATCGTCAAGATGCTTTACAGCACCCTCCTACAAGTGTTAAGTTCCCAGAGACAGCACTTGTTGAGCCTTGTGTACGAGGACTGAATCACAGTTATACATGCACTTCTCAGAACTAAGCATGTTTTATTTTTTTAAATCAAGGCAGACAGAAGTGAAAGGCATGAATAAATTGTCTGAGGAGGAAGGAGCTACTATATGCAAAAAGCTACTTTTTCCTTTTACCCAGTGGCCCTAGAGTGGGAACACGGGCACAGTTCATCATGTGCCATATGATAGAAAGGACAGATTATTTAATTCTGGGCCCTCCTGTAGTGTCATATCGTAACATAATTCTTGTTTTAAACAATCTATTTCATCTAATTCTATTTTCCATTTTTATCATTGACAGTCTAAAATGACATTTTAATGGGCACTTTAATTGTTGTTTGCATACCACACAATGACTTAAAGACTCAAGTACATGCATTGGTTGTCTGTAATTTTTTATTTTTTTTTTTATGGACGTTATTCATAGGATGTCAGTTTAATCCCCCATTTTCCCAGCACGAGTCACCCGAAGTTTATGTTAGTGTCAAGTATCTCTTACCTTGCCTGTGCATATGGTATTTGCTCAAAGCTATATTTTAGCTAACATGGTTATGCAACAACCGGAAATGGACCAAGAAAGTCCTCTGTAAAACTTGTATAGATGCCTCTAAGATTATTTTCCCTTGGAACACAAATGCCATTTCTGCGTATATATTTTGTTTGTTGGATTGATGTCCAGTTCTGTTATAAAGTGTGGTGTTTCACTTGATAATGTTGCACTTTTATTCATTATGAAGCATGCGGCTATGCTTCCCTTGTCATAATTGTGTGCACTAGTGACTGAGATTCCCTGAACACTGTAAACAACATAGTTCTAAAACTCTATACTTTTGATGTTCTTGGCTTTACACACAAGTTTCATTTAAGGCCAACAAATTCATGCTCATGTTTAATATCAGATATTCAGCATTGCAATGGTAGACTTAAGTTTCAGGCAGACGTCAGGCCATGCATAATTATGTAAAACTGATTTAGCAGAATTTTGATGATCAGTGACCAAAGGTGTGTATCTCTAGGTTGTTGTTGTGAATGAGAAATCTTCCACCATGCCTCTTGATTATTTATATTGAGCTCAATCGCTTAATTAATAGTGTCCAGTTTTCTGGCAGAATAGCGCCCATTTTGAAGCCATTTATTTGAACTGCAATTAAATTATTTCAGAACATGCCTCAGTTGTCGCTGAAAGGAAGTAATTTTGTTAATTTAAGAAAAACAATCTCTCTATTTTTCCACTTTAATGTCCTGAATTAAAAGTCAAAACAACCATCTTAAAATTTCTTCCACCCTGCACACTGTATGCTCTGTATACAGGCTCATGTTATGTCAACTGTACATGTCAGATGATGTCATCTGCTTTTAAGACTTTAGCTTTGAGAATAATATACCTTTCATTGAATCTACAGACAGAGCACTTAACCACCGCTAGCAGTTTCTCAGCTTCTCCCGAGCCTAGCCTGCTGAAGAAAAACCATCTGAAACCAGCCTAAGCCGGTTTGCTGGTTTTAATTGGTCTCCCATGTTGTAGGCACTTTTCTTCTGGTCAGGCTGGGAGACCAGATTGACCAATTGAAGGGCAGCTTTGCCAGGCTGACACACCAGCTAAAACCACCTTAGGCTAGTTAAAGCAGGATTTTATTGTTAAAAAAACCAAACAAAAAAAAAACACTTATAGTTTATATTTGACAACTATGTTTAATCCAGTTTTTCATGTTTGTAAGGATATGGTAACATTGTAATGCCATGGTTTTATCTTCTGAGGACAACACTGTAACCTACGACGAAAACAAAAAAACAAAAATTTTAAAACATGAAGGCTCAACGATGCTGAAGGTGTTCAGCAGACATACATGATGCTCTTTTCCCATTTCAGGAATGAGCTCAGATGTAAACAGCTGCATTTATGGCAGAAAGCATAATTTTCAAGGGTGTTGGTTTGCGGGCTGTTAAATGCTTAGTGACAGCCTTCCTCACCAAATCCTTTGCTTTTTTTTTTTTTTTAAACTCTGGCATACTCATATAGTCATTTGGGACTTTCTATGCCACTGCACAGTGAGCGAGTCTCTCCTGGCAGAGTTACACCCTGCCCTGCCTTACAGGCACTAATCACAGGCTAAATTTAATATGCTAGCCTCTAAATTTACCACCTGCAAAAAAGACCACTCTGTGTTTCTTGATGGGTGCTGTGAAGATAGAGAAGAGAGGTACTTTTTGCTCTAATTTTTCCTCTTCCTTCCCAGTCTGACCACATCCTCAGCATCACCCTCTTTCTTGGATATGTAGCGCTGAAAGCAGAGAGCATATTGTTTGTCTAGTCTGGATGCTATGCTAAAGTTAGCATTAGCAAGTAGCTAACACACACAGTGCTCCATTGAGGAACATGCGAGGAATGGGGCCGTGTTTGAAACCACAGTCGTTATTTAGTTAATAGTTTAGAGAAAGTATTATGAGGGAAGTATAACACACCAAACTAATCCAACATAGTGTTCTCAGCAACTCAGGCCTGGTTCGTTGCCTTTACTGCAGAAGTCAACAAAGATTACAGTGAGGAGTGTTGTTTTGAGATTTCTATGAGCTGTGTCTTGTGCTTATGGCCTGGGGATGCTTTGTCTTTGTTTTCATGGTTAACAACTAGATCATTCTGAAACCGCTTCTCTATACAGAGGAGTCTGATGTTCTTTCTGCCCTTTTTCCCCATGGGAATTTATGTCAGCCACTGTAGCACATACTGACCATATGACCATGTCAAATATAGAACCTGCTTGCAAACTAGCCAGTGAAAAAAAAATTATATTAATTCACACATACTCAAATGTACCCATATTTGTTTGATGTTGAGGTGTACAAGTAAATTATAGAGTGAACTTTATTCTACAGACTCTGGCAGGGCAGACATTGATCTTGAACTTACTAATCCTTCTGTTTAGATCATAATTCTTTCAGCTCTCCTTTAGTGCCAACGTGTAAAGCTCTGGGGCCTCATTTATGAAGCATGCGTATTATCATCCTAAATGTGAAAGTATGATCATTACCCATGATTAAAACTGAAAATGAGATGATAAATTGATGAACTGGTCTCTGCCATCATTCAATGCAACAAAATTTGAACAGTGCTATTTTGTGTGTGTGAACATTTCAATTTATTTATTCATTTAGTCTATTGTTCAGTTTGCAATTCTATCAATAAAAAGTCTACAGAAAATTCAGCAAAAAGGTCATTATGCATGCTTTTCACTTGAACATAAAAGAATATTGCCATGACAGTTTCAGCCTTCCTTGATCCTAATTTGTTCCTACGCAGGATCAAATCCATGGACTTTAGGATTAAATCTGAATTTAGGATTAAATCTGGTTTTATAAATGAGCCCTCTGATCTTTGCAACTTTGGTGCCAAAATTTGTTGCAAAAGGAGTTAGTCGAAGCAGAGTAGCACTTGATGAATTGTTATTTTTACATAAATTGTATCTCTAATACACAATGAGTGTGATGTAACCATGGTTGCGATCTAATGTCACTTTAATGCTATACGTGCACGCTTGTAGCAGTTTATGTGTGGGTGCTGTGGTGACAGGGCTTGATGATGATGATGATGGGGGCTAATGGTTGTCATTCTGCCTCCTTCACCGCCTTATACATTCTGACCAATCACAACAGCCTTCTCAGCTGCCACAGATTAACCAATCTCTAATCATACAGTATCACCAAATATTGTTCTCTGTTCCCTTCAACCTTCTTTTCTCATTCAGTTACCTAGTATCTCGATGAAAGAGGTGTTTAAAAAAAATGTTCACTTTATAGTTTTTGTATTTTGTTTGTCCTCTCCACCTCTGCATATTTTCTTGGACTCTGTTGTTTTATTCTTTGCATAATCTGTTTTGTTACAGCCAATGCCCTTGTAGATGTCACTCTTGGTGCTTTGTGAATGCTTCATTGTCTTAATAATATTAATAAAATATTGAGTGTATTCCATGCAGTAAATAGAAATGATTACAAATTGGTTTCTTTCATTTGGTCATTATTTGGATTATAAGTATGGACTTAATATGCATGCATCTTTTATTAGCTGTATTTGTCAAGTTGTGACATTATGTCCCAGGTATGCTTTAAAGTCAATGTGAAATCAAACAGTGGGGGAAAATATATATACGGAAGTTAGTAATGCCTCACAACTGTTTAGTATGGAAGCTTGTTTCTGCCTCAGAATAAAAAAAGATAAAAAGGTAATTGTGACTTTTTATCTCACGATTGTGAGTTTGCATTCAGAATTGCATGGTAAAAAGTCGCATTTGGGAGATATAGTCAGAATTGCATAACATAAAATCGCAATTGCGTGTGGAAAAAAGAAAAAAGTATTTTTTCCTAGAATTGGAATTTATAACTCGCAATGGTTTGTTTCATTGTACAACTGTACAATGACAATTAAAGTCTATCAATCGATCTATCTCAATTCTGACTTTTTTTTCTCACAATTGCGAGTTTACATCTCGCAATTCTGACTATCTCAGAATTGAGGAAATGAGGAAAAAAAGTCAAAATTGCGACTTTATATCACACAACTCTGACTTTTATATCTGAAAGTTTATATCTTATAACATTTAAACGGAGATTTTGGAAGTTTTACCTTTCGCTAAACATATTTAGATATATCGAAATCGTCTTCCATTGCGATTTCCTGGATATCTAAATATGTTTAGATCTTCACAGTGAAAGGTAAAACTTCCGAAATCTCTGTGTAAACAATGAGTGACGTACACACGCAAGTGATCACTTCCAGCAGAACGTTGGACATGGTTAAGTTGGACATTGGACAACTGATTCAGATCAGTTGGACATGGCTGTGGTTACACGAGGTAAAAACGATATAAATACTGTTCGTTTTCTCACACAATCCGCTCATTTCGTGTCTTAGGCCATCAATGTGTACTTACATTTACGAGTCACTAAATCATGTTTAATTTTGACTTCTCTGTGCATGCTCTTTGAGGAGGACCCCATATAACTCCATTATTTGACTGACAGACAAGAATGCTTTGACCTAAAAATATCAAAATTGAAAATACTGTGGAAACAAAGACACCTACATTGTGGATGCCCTTGAGGTGAGCTAAAACATATCAAAAATGTATTTCAAAGTGAACTATCCCTTTAAACAAGCTTCCATGTGAGTGTGAGTAGTAATGATGACAGAATTGTCATTTTTAGATGAACTATCCCTTCAACTTAATGTACATTACTGACACTTTTGTGCACAGTTCATCAGCGCATGTCATTGCAATGGAAAATAATATATCTTTGAAATACTTTTTTATCAGCCTCCACCTCTAAAATAACACTCATAGTTGGTTGACCTCCAATCAACATTTTACTATCCAATCCTGTTGGATAAAATCCCACCTGACATTTTTTAATAGATTGTTGGAAGCAATTGTGTATTCATATTGACTTCAATAACAAAAAGCATCTAATCTTGTTCCATCATAGAATTTCACATGATCTGGAGGTCACCGGTATTATTTGTCCTTTTGAAATGAAATATAAATAGCATGCAGGTTATCAATTACACATTACCCACCCAAAGCTTGTGAATAATTGAATGTATCCTTTGGACAAGAGGGCTGAGCAGAAGAAAGAAGGCCATTTATGTTTACTTTATTGAAAATTGCATTATTCAAATCGCAAACACGGCTGGACCATCGATGAAAGCTGATCTCTGAAAACAACACTCTCGTTTTCTGCTCTTTATAGCACGCTGCGTGTACAGATCGAGTTCTGTCCGTTGGATTCGGTTGTTCATATTTGTTTTCCTCTTTGATGACGACGATCTGGTCAATGGGGTGAATAAAAAAACTGTCCCAGTTACGAGTCTCTCATTTAGATCACAGAGACATTCCCATCTCTGCTCATGCTTTCCATAGCCAGCATACCTCCTGAGCTCTCGCTCAAAACACGTGTGTGCGCTTTTCTCATGCCTCATATCGCCACACATCGTCCCTAAGCAGAGCAGAATGAGAGGGGGAGAAAAAGCCACTGTCTCTTTTGTGCTGGATGGCCTCCAAGTCTGTGGCGGCAAAGTGAACAGTGACCTCTCTCTCACCTCTCCCTGCCTAAATGCACATGCACAGGCTCCCATCCATATTTCATACCAGAAATACATCCCTAGACAGTATTTTACACCCAGTGTGAAAGGCAGCCGTCAAGTCCAGGAGGATAGGGCAGGGCCTAAATCAGCTTTGTGCACGCCAGCCTGGCCACCAGAGCCAAGGAAAACAGCCATCACTATCATACTGTCATCTGGAGTAGCAAGCCTCACTGTTCTGTTCGCGTAAGCCACAAGCTTGTGAAAATATGACGACTCTGCCATGTACCAGTGAGATTAAACTGCTTGAAATGGGAGGTGTTCTTAAGTCCTTTTGGCACGGTTTTAGTCCTCACTAAACATGTCATATGCACGACTGGAGCAGTGCCTGTGTCAACTCAAAGTGGAAAAACATGACAGAGAACCACATGTATGGAGTATACAGGGTACAAATATTCATTAACATACTCTCATCATACATAATAATAGGAAAACCAGTCACACCAGCTGCAACATTTCCCAATAGTTTAGCCAGGGTATGAATAAAATATGGGGGGGAGGGGGGTTCTGTCCAACCTAATTAAGGAACCTCCCCACAAAGGAAGTGAAAAGATAACACAGTCTCATCCCAAAAAGTCATATAACTGACGTTTTGGGACGTATTTTGACCATACGTCAACATCAGCCTTTTTAGGGCCCCCTTAAACGTCGGTAGATGGCGATCCCGGGCCGTCATACAACTGACGCTTTACCTTTAACGTCAGTTAGGTGACGGGTTAGGTTTAGGGTTAGGTTTAGGTATGGGGTAGAGTTAGGATCCCATAACCTCATCTACCGACGTTTAAGGGGGCCCTAAAAAGGCGAATATTGACGTATGGTCAAAAGACGTCCCAAAACGTCAGTTATATGACGTCTTGGGGTGAGACCGGGTTGGAAAAGAAAAGTTGGGGGGTCTTAAGTAGGGGATAATGTACATCCAGTGCGTTATTATATCAGAATAAACCACATACAGGGTAATCAGGGGCCTCATTTATAAAACTGTGCGTAGAATCCTCACTAAAAGTGTACGTGCGCCCGAAAGCCAAACATTTTGGAGGCAAAAAAATATTCAGACTTTTAAAACCGTGCGTACGCCAGAACCTGCGCAGAATTCCCTTTATGTTGGACTTGGTCAGAACTGTTTCTAAAATATTTATACATGATTCATGCTGCCTTTGGGCTCAGTGATGTTGAATTTAAATGACAGATTATTTTTTTTCTGGAAGGGACTAAAGAACAAATCATTTTTATCAGCTGAAAGGCAGAATATAAATGTTTTTATCAATTTAGATAGACATTATATAACAGTTTCTGGGTATGTTTTAGAGTTGGTAACATGTCCCACATTGTCCCACACAAACTTATAATTGTCCCACATTTGGTTCGTTTGATGGTGGTCACCCTAATTAGACACGAAATATTGATCTGAGTCTTAATATTTTTTAGCCCTTTAAACATAAAGCTTCCGCAAGAGAGCAGTTGCTATAGCGGGGCAAGTTCAAACTAGATGAACATTTGAAGGGATAGTTCACTTTGAAATTAATTTTTGATATGTTTTAGCTTAACTCAAGGGCATCAATGATGTAGATGTCTTTGTTTCCACAGTATTTTCAATTTTGATATTTTTAGGTCAAACCATTCTTGTCTGTCAGTCATATAATGGAGTTATATGGGGTCCTCCTCAAAGAGCATGCACAGAGAAGTCCAAATTAAACATGATTTAATGACTCGTAAATGTAAGTACACATTGATGGCCTAAGACACAAAACAAGCGGTTTGTGTAAGAAAACAAACAGCATTTAAATAGTTTTTACCTCTTGTAATCACAGTCACGTCCAAGTACTCTGAGGCCGAGGGCGCTTCTGTCTGCGGAAGCGCCGGAAAGTCCCGGAAGTGATCTCTCGCACATGTACGTCACTCATTGTTTACAAAGAGATTTCAGAAGTGTTGCCCTTCACTGTGAAGATGTAAACATATTTAGATATACAGGAAATTGCAATGGAAGACAATTTTGATATATCAACAGATGACGTAGATTTTTTTTTCGCAACCGTGCAAGAGATCACTTCCGGCGCTTTCCGGCACTCGCGCAGATCACTTTGACGTGGCTGTGGTTACAAGAGGTAAAAATTATATAAATACTGTTCGTTTTTTCACACAAACCGCTCGTTTCATGTCTTAGGCCATCAATGTGTACTTGTTTTAACCCAATTTTGGGTAAAATATGGACAAACCCAACCATTGGGTTATATTTTTAAATTACATTTTTAACCCAATGGCTGGGTTTGTCCATATTTTAAAACAACCCAGCATTTTTAGAGTGTATAATCCAAAAGTGTATAAAACAGTTCACGATACTGGATGACATAACTGTACACACACACAGACACACAAAAAAAGATTTGACTGAGTTTTAATATTTTATTAGCTCACCAAACGCAAAACATCCTCAAGGAAAAAATTGTTCGTAGCAAGCACTGCTGACTAGTAACCCGGATGAGCCTGCATGTGTTATCTGTTTTCAGAAGTTGTTCTCTGTGAATAATATACCACTAGATTGTGCGATTGACCAATCAGATTCAGGTATTCCACAGAACCTTTTAATAAACCTGTATTCTATTTACATGTAAGAAAACATTCAATTACCCCCAAAACATTAGATTTGAAAAAAGTAATAATGCGTTAAACGGACAATCGCGAACAGAAGTTGCATTTGCTGCTCAATCTGGTAACGTTGGCGTGAAATGGAAATACTCCCTATTTCTTAATGCATCTAATTGATCTTTTAATGTTATTACCGATTTACCAATGCATGTTTCATTTTATTAGTTCAGTTTTCAGAATGTCGTAACTTTTCCATCTTCTCT